TTATGTGTACATTTTCAATTGAGTGCTCAAAATATCAAGTTTTTGTGCTAATATGTGATGTACACCTAGTGCAGCTTTAGGTTTCCCGGTAAAGCACGATATTACTTCAGTCTTACTGAAGTAGTTCTGATAATTCGCTGTGAATCCACTATTTCCTAAGAATGTGTCGATTAATGCAGACTGACGTTGTTCTAATCACTTCGTTTAATAATAAAGAATGTAGTGTAGCGCGCACACTTTATCGGTAAAGCACGATATTACTTCAGTCTTACTGAAGTAGTTCTGATAATTCGCTGTGAATCCACTATTTCCTAAGAATGTGTCGATTAATGCAGACTGACGTTGTTCTAATCACTTCGTTTAATAATAAAGAATGTAGTGTAGCGCGCACACTTTATAATCATTGTGAAATTGCTGTTTATTTTGCTGCACCGGCAGTTATAGGGTTAATGCGGGAGAGACGAGCGAGTTAGTTTGGCTGGTGCGCCTGTGATACAGTGTGTGGTACAGTCGTTCTTCAAACATTACAGTAGACATATTTTGGTTTACAAACTGTATTGTTTCCTCAGTTAGTCGCCTTAGCACTCGGCAAACGTATCCACCATTATTGTTTTAAGTGTTCACAGTTTAGCAGCTAAACTTTAGCTGTGGGCACGATTTGCTTGCATAAGTGTTTTTGTATTTTATGTCATTATTATAAGAACGGATTGGAGCACTATATTATTGTTTTATGCAAAGGTGCTTTGTCAATGGTAGCGCTCGCTAACTTGCTCAAGGACTCCTCCCTGTGCCAATCACAGCAGGCTTGGCCAGCTGACCAATCAGAGCAGAGTAGGCTTATGGAAGTGGAGGGGTTTGCTCCGAACTTGCTTGGAACGAATCGTTTAGAAATCATTGGCAAATGACTCTAATATTAAATGTATATTCTGAGAAAATTACAATGTTTTCTGACCTTAGATGCATTTAAACCTGTTGTAGGGGACTCCAACACAATATTAGGACACTTTAAAATACAATATGACCTGCTCTTTAACAATTTTACTGCTGCAACAAAACACCTATTCCAAAATTAAGTAAGGAACATACGATAATTGTCTTGTTTATATTTTTAAGTTAAACTACAGTTACTGAAGCATCACCGTCATAGGTTTATAATTAATACTGTATGTGCAATTTAAGCTCTTTATTTAAAAGCACATATGAAAAAGGCAGAATAAAGATGTTATAACATTATTGTTTGAACTTATGAATAATTGCATTATCTTTAATGACCAGTTGCAGAAGTCTCAAAGTATAACTTTAAGGGGCTGTGCAACACATTTTTGCAGATGTTAACAGATCTGTACAGATTGCAGATTGGAGAGTATGTGTGCATATCATTAGATTCTGAGCATTTATCTGCATTCATGAAAGAGAAAAAAAAGTGTTTCATTACACTTTAACTGTCCAAGAATTTGGCTTGTAGTACTACTGATGTTGTATTACTTGCATGTAAATATAAGGAACATAGAAGTATAATATTCTCCATCTCGGGGGTTTTTTTTTCTTTCTTTTTTTTCTTTTTTGCATGGCACAGCTGGATCCGGCTCTCTCCAGGGGCCCCAGACGCCACAGTCCACCAGCAGCTCCATGGCAGAAAGCGGAGACTTGAAGCCCCCTACTCCTGCCTCCACCCCACACAGCCAGATGCCCCCAATGCCAAGTGGCAGGTGAGATTCGCTCACTTGTCTTGCAGTACTGTATGTGTTTTTTGAGTGTGAACCACTCCTTACCTGCCCTGTTTCTTAGGAGCAGTGTGAACCTGCAAGATCCATTTGCTGATAGCGACTTCTCTCGGAGAAACACTATGACGCCCAACTCTGGCTACCAGTCAGGCATGAGCACCCCGGAGATGCCTGGTCGCATGGGACCCTATGAACCCAATAAAGACCACTTCAGTGGTATGCGTAAAGGTTTGTATTGTAGTCATGTAATCATAATCCGTTATAGTTCATGATAAGCTACCTGGTGTAATGAGCTGTGTGCTTGTGGTACTAGCTGGAGAACAGTTCATGCCTGGTGGGCAGGGTCCCAACAGCAGTCTCGGTGATCAGTACAACAGGGGACCACCAGGTCCTATGGGAAATATGACCATGGGCCAGCGGCACCAGTATCCATATGGCCCCGGCTGTGACAGGAGGTACACTGAAACTTTACTTTGGGAAGAAACTAATTCCTTTACTTTCATTTGTGTTATGTAAATGATGCAATGAACTCTAACCTCTCCTGTGTTGCGTAGACCAGAGTCAGGGATGGGCCCAGATGGCAGCATGGGTCCTGGAGTGCCACAGCCAAATATGATGACTTCCAATGCCGAATCTGGGATGTACTCACCAAATCGTTACCCTCCACAGCAACAGCGGTCAGTCCACTAGTTAGTTCGTTTTTATGGAGATTGTATTTGTATATCTGCTATATCTAGTTCTCATTTATCTTGCATATGGTTCTCTGTGCAGGCATGAGTCCTATAGTAATCAGTATCCTGGTCAGGGTGCACCTCCTGGTGGCTCCTATCCGAATCAGCAGCCTGGAATGTACCCACAACAACAATCGGTAAGAAAGCGGTTAATAAAACGATGTGATGTTTTTTAAACATTTTTTATAATGACTAAATATTACTGAAAGCCTTGTCACATATTTTAAATGTAATCTGTTGCCTTTAGAACTACAAAAGACCAGGTGATGGTGGTTACCCACCAGCTAAACGGCATCACGATGGTGAGATGTTCAGTGGGCCATTCAATGCTCAGCAGCCACTGCCGCAGGCTCCCCCTAGTGGTCCCTCAAGTGGTCAGGAAATGTATAACCAGTATAGCAGTTCCTACCCTGGCTCGGAGCGTCGTCCACCTGGTCCCCAGAATCAGTTCCCTTTCCCCTTTGGAAGAGATCGTATGCAAGCAGGCACGGGCCCAAACTCCCAGGGTTCTATGCCTCCTCAAATGATGACCAGTCCAATGCAGTCTGGTCCTGACGGTCCTCAAGGTGGCATGTGGCAGGGCCGAGGTGATATGGGCTATCCCAGTTACCCCAACCGTCAGGGACCTCCTACTGGTCCCGGACAGGGCCCTAGCTACCATGCAATGAATCGATCTGAAGACATGATGCCATCTGAACCACGCATGAATCATGAGGGCCAGTGGCCTGGGCCACGACAACCCCCATATGGCCCTAGTGGCGCAGGTCCACCAATGAGCAGACCCTTGCAGTCAAATTACCAGACTCCCCAAATCATGCAAAACCACGTTCCACAGGTGTCAAGCCCCACGCCCATGCCACGGCTTTTGGAAAGCAGGACTTCCCCCAACAAATCAACCTACATACCCAGCAATATCAAAATGCAGAAGGCGGGACCTCCAGTGCCTGCATCTCACATTGTACCTCCCTCAGTACAGCCTCCAATGATGAGAAGAGACCTGTCCTTCCCTCCGGGTTCCATAGAGGCAACATCACCAGTTCTTAAATCACGTAGGCGTCTTACCATGAAAGAAATTGGTAAGAGTTAAAAAAAACTCTCTTGGTTATTTATCAAGCTCAGTCTTGAGAGATACAGAAAGATAACTCTGTACTCATTTTGCAGGCACCCCAGAAGCATGGAGAGTCATGATGTCCCTTAAATCGGGACTGTTGGCGGAGAGTACATGGGCTTTAGACACCATCAACATCTTGTTATATGATGACAACAGTATTTCAGATTTCAACCTTGTACAGGTGAGTCATTTTTGGAAAATGTTGTTTAAACAAAATTGTTTATTGCCATTACTTAAGTTTCATTCTAAATAACATACTAATATTTTCTTTTAAAGCTCCCTGGTTTCCTGGAACTAATCGTTGAGTATTTCCGCCGTTGCCTCATTGAGATCTTTGGGATTCTGAGGGAATATGAAGTTGGGGATCCAGGACAAAGAGCTCTTTTAGATCCCAGCATGCTCATAAAAGATGAAAACACTGTGGATGATGAGGCACTGGTTGAGGGCATGGAGGACGATGGAGAAACAGAGGAGGAAGATGAAGGAGAGGAAATGCACAGGTCAAAACATCAGGAACAACACATGGCACAAGGACCTCTCCAGATAAAGCAGGAAGAAAAGCCAAGGGCACTTGAAGACTCTGTGAAGAAAGAAGATTGCCAAGGGACTGAAGGGGAGTCTTCTGCAGAACCCAAGACTTCAGAGCCATCATGTCTTGAGTTGGCTGTTACTCAAGAAAAGCCCAAACAGGCTAGCAAGTTTGATAAGCTTCCCTTGAAGATTGTGCGAAAAAAGGATCCATTTGTGGTGGACTGCTCAAATAAGCTTGGTCGGTTGCAGGAATTTGACAGCGGCCTCCTGCACTGGAGTATCGGGGGAGGTGATACAACAGAACACATTCAGACCCACTTTGAAAGCAAGATGGACCTGTTGCACCATCAGAAGCGTCTTCCTGCACAGGTCCCTGACAGGAAGAGAGGAGCTCAGACGGACAGCCAGGCACCCTCGCTGCCCTCATCCAGTGAAGAGCATGGGAAAGAGGTGGACCGGCAGCCCTCTCCAGAGTCGTCCACTGAGAAAGTGACCAACGGAATTTCAGATTTGAGGGACGACAGACCTGCTGACTGCTTAGAAACTGCCTCTGAGGGGACTTCACACATAGAGAAAGATGAAGAGAAACAAGTAACGGAGACGACAACTTCAGAAAACATCAGGCCAGCACCTCCAAGCCCGTCATTACAGGGTCAGCGCTCCATCGCCGTTTTAGAAGATGAGCCACACAGCAAGGATGAAGCTCCTCTCGTCACGCTCTTAGACTGGCAAGACTCCCTTGCCCGTCGCTGCATCTGTGTCTCCAACATTGTCCGCAGCCTCTCGTTTGTCCCGGGCAATGACTCGGAGATGTCAAAGCATCCAGGGCTGTTGCTACTGCTTGGCCGCCTGTTGCTTCTCCACCATCATCATCCAGAGCGCAAGCAGGCGCCTTTAACCTACGAGAAAGAAGAGGAGGTGGATGAGAGTCATGGTAGCAAGAAAGACGAGTGGTGGTGGGACTGTTTGGAGGTACTGCGGGAAAATTGCTTGGTCACTCTTGCCAACATTTCAGGCCAGCTTGACTTCTCTGTCTACACTGAGAGCATCTGCCTGCCTCTGCTGGATGGCTTGCTCCATTGGGCCGTTTGTCCTTCAGCGGAAGCCCAAGACCCCTTCCCTAGTCTCGGGCTCAACGGCGCCTTGTCCCCCCAGAGACTAGTCCTAGAGACCCTCTGTAAGCTCAGCATTCAGGACAACAATGTGGACCTCATTCTGGCGACGCCACCTTTTAGTAGATTAGAGAAGCTGTTTGGTAACCTCGTGCATCTAGTTGGAGAGCGAAAGGTGCCTGTTTGTCGGGAGATGGCGGTCGTGCTGCTGGCCAATCTCGCACAAGGTGACAGCCTGACGGCCCGTGCCATTGCAGTACAGAAGGCCAGTGTTGGGAATCTATTGGGCTTTTTGGAGGACAGCTTAGCGGCTACGCAGTTCCAGCAGAGCCAAGGTTCCCTACTGCACATGCAGGGGTCACACTTTGAGCCAACAAGTGTGGACATGATGCGGCGGGCTGCTCGGGCTCTGCTCGCTCTCGCTAAGGTGGATGAGAACCACTCTGAGTTTACGCTATATGAATCGCGGCTACTGGACCTTTCTGTCTCCCCGCTCATGAACTCATTGGTGTCCCATGTCATCTGTGATGTACTCTTTTTGATAGGCCAGTCATGACAGCTGTGCGGAGCTGTGGCTCCACCTTCTCTGGTTTTCGTACTTCCCCTTTGCCTGTCCTCCCCATTGGCGAGTGGGGATTGAAAGCAGAGAATATTGACTGTTTCTTGTTTTCTGTTTTGTTTTTTTATTTATGCAAGCCCTTTCATATTACACCCACTGGTCCCCCTTTTCTCTGCGTCTCACTTTGGGAAGGTTGTCACGAATTTGCTGTGGATCATGAACCAGAGCCTCAACACACTGACACAAACTGTAACACTGATGCCAACTAGATGACATGGACAGGGACCCCAACTTTTGTGTCCTTGTCTGAGGGGAAAGTACTTTTTATAATAAAAAATAAATGAATAAAATAGCTTGAAAAAACAAACTATTTACCAAAGTTGCTGTCTTGTTTACAGTGAGTTTTGGGGTTAATTGTTTCTTTGTCCTCCCCAAGAGGGTGCAAATAATACACAGCTCTTGTTCACATTGACAGGTGGACTCTTCATTGTTTGGTGGTTGTATTTTGATGCTACACGGTCAACCTTTCTGGGGATGCGTGTACAGCAGAAATGAGTTGTCATTTTCTGTACAGTACTCCACAACTGTAAACATACTGCACTGTTCCACATGGGGTAAATGTTGGCTCAGTCGGCTTCGTTTTTAAACCATTAGTTTGCTGGTAAGGAGAATACCCCCCCCCACC